AGCAATAATACCAATACAATACATGAACAATAACAAAACAGTGTAACAACAATACTCATAACAATGGTTTGTAGTAGTAGTAGTAGTAGTAGTAGTAGTAGTAGTAGTAGCAGTACTAGTAGTAGTAGTAGTCGTCGTCGTCGTAGTAGTAGCAGCAGTAGTAGTACGAGAAGCAGCAGTAGCGGTAGCGGTAGCGGGACCAGGAGAAGCAGCAGCAGCAGCAGCAGCAGCAGCAGCAGCAGCAGCAGCAGCAGCAGCAGCAGCAGCAGCAGCAGCAGCAGCAGCAGCAATGATGCTCCTACTTGATCTCGAGACTTGCCTGGTTCTCAGATGAGATTGGCGGGGTGCTAACCATTACTCTGGTTGATGAACATCAGCATCTTTCAAAAAGTAGTTCGTAGTACTTGTCGGAACTTCGACAGCATGCGGCTTTGCAAAAGAGAAACTTTCCCAGAAGTCCAGAACATGCCGTAGGTCACCATACTTTCACCTGTCCCACCACAAAGCCGGCAGCCACGATCAAACACGAGTGTGATGCCTGGTAGTCGTCGTCGTCGCTGTCGTCGTAAGCAGTAGTGGTGGGGCTCAAAGGTGCTCAGGCCAAACAAACTGGCCAAAGGCACCGCTCCAGCACTGAGCAGCGCCCGCCTTGTACTCACGTGCATTCATGGCTATAGTTCTTGTTGAAGGTTCCAAAAAGGGTAAGAGTTTCTTCGGATTCTGTATAGTTTACAGGGAGTAGCAGGGTTTGTGGTTCGCGGTACTACACTTCATCCCTGGAATCTTGGAGAGGTTTTGGTTCGGTGCCCCTGCACGGAAGTGGTGGGGCTTCAAATTACAATTCACTCTACGAAACTAGGGCCAGCATACAATGCCATTGCCTTCTTTGTCTCTACCTTAGAACCAAACCCATTGCGGTTCGCCGTCTTCTGCGCTGTCTGCATGGCTTTCGGGCAAGTTCTGATTGTGCCCTGTTTGCAATGAAAGCTCGGGCTAAGGATCGCCGTCTGGAGCTCGGAGAGCATCGAACTTTGATATTCAGGGTTTGGGCCTCGGGGTTTCAGGTTTAGGACTTGATGTTGGGCCTATGGCCGAGTCGGATTGCTCGTAGCATTGGTTTTTTGGGTTCCCCAAAGTCGTCCTCCATGTTGAAGACATTTCTGAACCCAAAGAACATCGGTCCTGCATGCTTCCTCTTCCATCCCAGACTGAAGACTACCCTCAGCTCAGCCCTGGGAAAGTCCAAACCTCAGACTCTGCGCGCTGTATCCCTGTCCTCAGCACTGGGCTGGGCTGTTCTGGGCTGGGCTGGGCTGGGCTGGGCTGGGCTGGGCTGGGCTGGGCTGGGCTGGGCTGGGGTACCTGCAACTCTACACTCCAAACCAAGAGCCCCGAATGCCGAAACCGTTTTACGGCCCGTCTCTGGAACCCGAAGACTTTCTAGGCACCATCGGAATGATTGATGTTCAAGTCGCGGCAACATTAACTCCGGAAGTGAGTTGTGTAGCACAAAACTATCAGCTGCAAACCCTGGCTGCTTGCAGACCTACCTCTTATACTAAGTCCTGATCACGTCACAAAGTCGCCGCAGCGCCCCTCTTCGCAGCTGCAGTGAGTACGTCTTCAAGCAGGTTCATGGCCTCTTGGAGTTCAGGCTTGGGGTCAAACACTAAGCTACTAAGTGTCCGGACGTGAGAACCAAGCTACTCATATCGGGGCTTTAATACTTATAATAGGGCTTTGGGGGTATATTCTACCCCAATTATATGAGGGAACCCCCCGAAAAAAAAATAGGATAGGATGAGTATGAAGGCCCCTATAAAAGCTGGACTTCCTGGGGTCCGGGGAGAGGCGAACTCTAAAGCCGACTTTGTGTCTGGGCCTTTTGAGCATCTTCTTCCTGCCTGGCCCAGGAAAAAACCTAAGAAGTCCTTAATGTAGGGGCCTGGATATGTAGGGTTTAGGGGTTAGGGGTTTAGGGGTTCAGGGTTAAGTGTTCAGGGGTTTAGGGTTTAGGGGTTTCTAATACTATTCATTCTGGGGGGTTCTTATTATAAATGGAGTATCATATACCCCAAAACCCAGTTCTAATTATTAAAGGCCCTGTGTTACATCTTTCCTCCAGCGTCCGTCGGCTGAACAGCCGTCTCGCCTTCTTGAGACGTGCCTATAATGGCAAAAGGCAAATCTTACCATCCTTGCAATCCTGCTCACACTGTAAACCCTACATTTTAAGCCGCAGTAACTTGAACCCCCAAAGAAACCTAAACCCCATGCCCGGAAGGTGACCTTGTATCTGCGGAGAACATCCATCGTCAAACGTCCTGCCGTTCTGGTGCGAGAGCCGTGCGGCAGGGCTTGAAGGTCTATGTCGGGGTCCTTCATTTAGCTTTGCAGACAAGGTTTAGGGGATAGGATGCCGCCGGACTTGAAGCCTGAGCGTGGACTCCCCTCACCAACGACCCGAGTCCAAAAATCTGGTCCGTGGAAACTTCAACTGCTTACCTCTGGTCCAGGATTTTATCCCTGACTTTCACTCGCTTGTGGGTCTGTGTCCTCCCAGCATGACTCTCTTTGCCAAGGCAGTGCAGGCCGGGGTATGGCAGCAACAACGAAAACTGCGCATGTCATGTACGGCGAATAAATCTGTTTCGTTCCCACCTCTGTGCAGAAAATCATTGGCAAAACCATCAGAATCAAGAGGTCTTGTGCCTTCAACGGTAGTTTCATCGAACTGTCCCGACTGTCTACCGAAACAGGGTCTCTCACTCGCCAAAGTAGCTGAGTCAATGGGAGCAATAATCTCAAAAAGGAGACAGCTGGAATCTCTCCAGTCGAACGATCGAAGTCTTGCGCGAACATGCTGGCAGTCCGATGTCGCGCCAGCGCATCAGATCTGGATCGGCGAAGGGAAGGCATACCTTTGATGCAAAAAGCCGAAAACTAAGCACAACAGCCTCACAAGCTACACCCGACTGGTTGATTTCATTGGAGCCATGCATGTCGTGACGTGCCCCACGCTTTCACGAACATGAATCTTGGCTGTTTTTGGCATAGAAGGAAACTC